CTTTTTAGTATTGTCTTAATTAATTCTCTAAACTACTAATTCAGATAGCCCAGAAGAAATATCAGTATTTTGGTATCTGTATACAGATCTTTTTTCTCTAGTTAATGCTCTGGTAGCCTGGTTAGTAGAATACCCTTGCCAGATACCTGGTCTTTGTTCAGTTGCATTAATCTCAGATGTATCTTATTTCAGTAATATTATTAAAAATCTGTGCTACCTTTCTATTCAAGACTTGCCAAGTAAGTATCTTACTGCTATATTAGCCTTGTAGCTTTCTGTGATACTAGTGCATATCTCTGTATAACTTCTTTATTACATAAATATCTGTAATCTTTCAGTTCTAATAAATTAGTATGATCACTATTATAGTCAACCCTTCCAAAACTAATATGCATAGTGAATGAGTTTTGTATCAGTTTTGGCAGGTTATCAGCTTTGAAAAATATCACATAACAGGCTAATACGCATTAGCTAATCAAATTGCAAAATCGAGTAAGTCAAAAAATTCTCAATTGCAATATAACTATAAAGTAAATTCATGTACGTATATACTTACTTAACTAAGCATAATATATAATATGTTGTTTTTAGTAGATATTTAATAAAGTAATACTGTATAGCAGTACGCATGTGTACTATGTATTATAATTTCTATACATCCTAATTTGCATTTCCATACTATACTTTAAATTTATTAAAAAATATATGCCACTTTTTAGTTACTTGATAATGCCAATTCTATAGCAATACACAAATAGTAAAGCTAATATTGCGCAATTTTATGAATATTGCGCAATTTTATAATATTGCGCAATTTTATAAATTGCTTTATTAAGTAGTTATTATATATGTACTGCCAAAACCTAAAAAAAAATCTAACCGAAAACTTGAAACTTAAATCATAGGATTGATAATAAATATCCAAATTTACTAATCTTATAGAAAAAAGCACAAGAATAGCATTGCATTTCTCTGGTACTATTCATTGAGATCGGCATTGATCACTCTTAAAAGTTTAATAATTATAAATTTCAGTTTATAGCTTAGTAGAACAAGTTGGTACAAATATTTCGTATTTTTAAAATAAGTGTAACTATAAATTATAGTGTACAGGTTTTCATATTAAATATAATTATTTGCTTTTATATAAGTGTTACTAAAGGAAAAGGTGCTTCCATTTTTTAATCAACAATTGATTAAAAAATAGATATGCACTTTTCTCTTGATAGCACTCATATATCTTCAGTTAAAAATTGGTATACTAAAATGTTAACCCTGTAAAAGTGTATAATTATATCTTGAAAAAATATATGTTTTAGTTAGAATTTTTAAATGTAAAATAAAAATAAAATAAATAAAAAATAAAATAAATAAAAAAAAACATAAATCAATACTCAATAATAAATCAGATTCTATAATAACAAGGTAGTATCATTCTAATATTCAAATCTTTTAAATAGCACATTTGATTTTAAAGTAACGTCTATGAACCTCCTACAAATTAAAAATATCAGTAAACATGATAAAAATCAAGTTTTAAAATTTATAATTTACCTGAAATAATACAAATACTGTAGAAGTATTGTAGATATATAAGGTAGTATTTCTATGAACTGAACTGAACTGAACTTTTGGCCAAGTTCAAGTTCAGTTCAAAATTGAACTGAACTTGAACTTGACTTTTTTAAAAAAAGTTCAGTTTAGATTCAATATTGAACTTTTAAGTCAAGTTTAGGTTCAGTTTAGGTTCAATTCAAAAGTTCATGAATATGTTCAAGTTCAATAAATTATATATATAGTATATGTATAGTGGCCTCCGAAAGTATAAAATAGATATACAAAAAAAATATAACATAATTCATACAAATTTATAATTTACATCATTTCATGCAAATGCATAATTTATATCAATTCATGCAAATATATAATTCATACAAAATATATAATTTACGTAAATTGTATAATATATAAACTAATCGCAATATGAATATAAATAAAGAAAAAAATTTTTATTATCATTATTGCTAACATAACCATGTCTAAGAATACTCAATTAACCAATTTTGAAAAAGGTCAAATTATTGGAATATATAACGTTGGATCTACTTTAACTTCTATTGCTATAGCAATAAACTGTACACGATCTACAGTATTCAATTTCTTAAACCGGGTCGAAGAACAAGGAAATACTGAAACTGCTTTACGCCCAGGAAGACCATCAATAATAACTAATGAAGACGAACAAAATCTTATTAACACAACAATTAATGATAGGAATTTGTCTCTTCATAAAATCTTAAGTACTAATGGAATTAATGTTTTACGAATAGTGGCCAGAAACATCTTGCACAAATATGGAATATGAACACATATTGCTGCCAAAAAACCAGACCTAACTTCAAGACAAGCAGAAGCACGGCTTGCATAGTATAACGCTCATATAAACTGGAGTGTAAGTGATTGGCAAAAGATTATTTTTAGTGATGAATCATCGGTTGAGATTGGCAGGTGTTCACGATTAAATATTGTATGAAGAAAATGTGGAAACTGATATAAACCACACTATACGATCCCAACATTTAGAAGTGAAAGAAAAAGTATTATGGTATGGGGATGTTTTGCAGGAGGAGAAAAAGGACCGTTGGTTTTTATGAAAGAAAAGAATAGTAGTAGTGCAATTAATTCGCGAAGATATATAGAAGTATTGAAAGAAAATTTGATACCATTTTGGTGTGAATTAATTGCAAACTTTGGTAATGATATAACCTTCCAAGATGATAATGCTCCAATTCATATGGCAAGGTATACTCAAGAATGGATGAAAGGTGAAAATATCCAACGTCTTCCATGGCCAGCGCAATCACCTGACTTAAATCCAATCGAAAATGTGTGAAAATTATTAAAGGACAACGTTTAACAACAAAAACCACCTCTAAACACTTATGAAGCTTTGAAGACAGCACTTTTAGAAGAATAGGAAAACCTAGATTTATCAATCTTTATGAATTTAGTTAATAATATGCCAAGCCGTATTATTCAAGTTATTGAAAATGGAGGTTATAGTTGCAAATATTGATTAGTATATCAATCTGGTATCGATATGTATTGCAATAATTGCATATTTATATATTGTATGTTATTAATTTGCTAATTTGCATAATAATAATATATTATTAAATTTGCTTATTTACAAAATTTATGTTATGTTTTTTTTTAAAAATTATGTTATGTTTTTTTGTGTAACAGTTTTATACTTTCAGAGACCACTGTATGTATTATATATTATCAAAAATAA